CAACTGGATCCAACAATACATTGCAAAAATTATTCACCATGACCAAGTGGGATTTACATCTGGGATGCAGGGCTGGTTCAATATACACAAAACAATCAATGTGATTCATCACATCACTAAAAGAAAGGACAAGAACCACATGATCCTCTCAATAGCTGCAGAGAAAGCATTTGATGAAATATAGCATCCTTTCTTGATTAAAATCCTTAAAAAAGTAGGGATAGAAGGAGCATACCTCAAGATCGTAAGAGCCGTATATGAAAGACCCAATGCTAACGTCATCTTCAATGGGGAAAAACTGAGAGCTTTCCCCCTAAGGTCAGGAACCAGACAGGGACGTCCACTCTTGCCACTGTTATTCAACATAGATTGAAAGTCTTAGCCTCAGACAACACAAAGAAATAAAAGGCATCCAAACTGGCCAGGAGGAGGTCAAACTTTCACTCTTCACAGATGACATGATACTCTATATGGAAAACCCAAAAGATTCCACCAAAAACTGCTAGACCTGATCCGTGAATTCAACCAAGTCACAGGATATAAAATCAATGCACAGAAATCAGTTGCATTCCTATATAAAAATGAAGCAACAGAAAGAGAAATCAAGAAATCAATCCCAATTACAATTGCACCTAAAACCATAAAATACCTAGGAAAAAAAATCTAACCAAAAAGGTGAGAAATCTATACACTGAGAACTGTAGAAAGCTTATTAAAGAAATTGAAGAAGACACACAAAAAAAGGAAAAATATTACATGTTCCTGGATAGGAAGAACAAATTGTTAAAATTCAATACTACCCAAAGCAACCTACACATTCAATGCAATCTCTATCAGAATAACACCAGCATTCTTCACAGAGCTAGAACAAACAATCCTAAAATTTGTATGGAACCAGAAAAGATCCCGAATAGCCAAAGCAATCTTGAAAAAGAAAACCAAAGCTGAAGGCATCACAATCCCTGACTTCAAGCGGTATTACAAAGCTGTAATCATCAAGACAGTATGGTCCTGGCACAAAAACAGACACTTAGATCAATGGAACAGAACAGAGAACCCAGAAATGGACCCACAAACGAATGGCCAACTCACCTTTGACAAAGCAGGAAAGAATGTGCAGTGGAATAAAGACAGTGTCTTCAGCAACTGGTGCTGGGAAAACTGGACAGCAACATGCAGAAAAATGAACCTGGACCACTTTCTTACACAATACACAAAAATAAACTCAAAATGGATGAAAGACCTAAACTTAAGACAGGAAGCTATCAAAATCCTGGAGGAAAAAGCAGGCAAGAACCTCCTTGACCTTGGCTGCAGCAACTTCTTACTCAACACATCTCTGAAGGCAAGGGAAACAAAAGCAAAAATAAACTATTGATACGTCATCAAAATAAAAAGCTTCTGCACAACAAAGGAAACAATCAGCAAAACTAAAAGGCAACCGACGGAATGGGAGAAGATATTTGCAAATGACATATCAGATAAAGGGTTAGTATCTAAATCTATAAAGAGCTTACCAGACTCAACACCCAAAAAACATTCCAGTGAAGAAATGGACAAAAAACATGAATAGACACTTCTCCAAAGAAGACATCCAGATGGCCAACTGGGATATGAAACAATGCTCAACATCACCCATCATCAGAGATACACAAATCAAAAGCACAATGAGAAACCACCTCATTCCTGTCAGAATGGCTGACATTAACAACTCAGGCAACAAGAGATGTTGGCGAGGATGCAGGGATACAGGTGTGCTGTTTCGAAGGGACACATGCACCACACTGTTTCTAGCAGCACTATTAACAATAGCCATAGTATGGAAAGGGCCCAAATGTCCATCGATGGAAGAATGGATAAAGAAGATGTGGTATATATGTACAATGGAGTATTATTTGGCAATCAAAAAGAATGAAATCTTGCCGTTCGCAACTACATGGATGGAACTAGAGGGTGTCATGCTAAGCGAAATTAGCCAGTCAGAGAAAGACAAACATCATAGGACTTCACTCATATGAAGACCGTAAGATACAAAACAGATGAACATAAGGGAAGGGAAGCAAAAATAATATAAAAACAGGGAGGGGGACAAAAACATAAGAGACTCTTAAATATGGAGAACAGGGGGTGCTGGAGGGGTTGTGGGAGGGGGCGTGGGCTAAATGGGTAAGGGACATTAAGGACTCTACTCCTGAAATCACTGTTGCACTATATGCTAACTTGGATGTAAATTTAAAGAATAAATTTTTAAAAAGCAGGGATGCGTTGAAGACACAAAATAAGAGCAGGATAAGAGGGACACAAAGAAGGCATAAGGTTTAGCCACACTGATAGCCAGAGGAATATATCTATGTACAAAAGAGAGGAGTACATCTATGACCTCACCTATTAAATTTATATTCTAACACCCATATTATATATGTATACTCAGGTAGATTCTTTACATAACTCATATATTAAAAAGGAAAACGCTACAAAAACAAAATGTCAACAGTGGCTGTCTGTGGAGACGATGGGATTGTGGTAGTGATTTTTTATATTATCTTTTTTTATAGTTTCCGGTATCTGCTAACATGAGCAGGCCCAGTTTCATCGTCAAGAATAAAACAATATATGATATTATATGTTTTAAAAAGCACAGCTCATCTACCCATTCACCCCAGGAAGGATTTTCTGAAGGGAGCAAGGTGTGGTTTAAAGGTGGTGAGGGGTCTTCCACCACAGCAACTTCTTACTTGACACATCCCCAAAGGCAAGGGAATCAAGAGCAAAAGTAAACTATTGGGACCTCATCAAGATTAAAAGCTTCTGCACAGCAAAGGAAACAACCCACAAAACTAATAGGCAACCAACGGAATGGGAAAAGACAGTTGCAAATGACATATCAGATAAAGGGTTAATATCCAGAATCTATAAGGAACTCACCAAACTCCACACCCGAAAAACAAACAACCCAGTGAAGAAATGGGCAGAAGATATGAACAGACACTTCTCCAAAGAGGACATCCAGATGCCCAACAGACACATGAAACGATGCTCAGCATCCCTCCTCATCAGGGAAATACAAATCAAAACCACAGAGATTCCACCTCACGCCGGTCAGAGTGGCTAAAATGAGCAAAGCAGAGGACTCTAGATGCTGGCGAGGATGTGGAGAAACGGGCACCCTCCTACACTGTTGGTGGGAATGTAAACTGGTAAAGCCCCTCTGGAAAACAGTGTGGAGGTTCCTCAGGAAACTAACAATAGAACTCCCCTATGACCCAGCAATAGCACTGCTAGAAATTTACCCCAGGGATGCAGAAATGCTGATGCACAGGAGCACATGTACCCCAGTGTTCATGGCAGCACTCTCAACAATAGCTAAAACATGGAAAGAGCCTAAGTGTCCATCAATGGACGAATGGATCAAGAAGATGTGGTTTATCTATACCATGGAATACTACATGGCAATGAGAAACAATGAAATCTGGCCATGTGTAGCAACATGGATGGACCTTGAGGGTGTTATGCTGAGCGAAATAAGTCAGGCAGAGAAGGACAAATATCATATGTTTGCACGTATAGGAGGATTAGGAGGAACTTGACGGAGGACCATGGGGGAGAAGAAGGGGAGAAATAATGGGGGAGAGGGAGAGAGGCAAACCATGAGAGACTCTTGAATGCTGAGAACAAACTGAGGACTCATGGTGTGGGGGGGAAGGGGGGAGATGGGCATGGAGGAGGGCACTTGTGGGGATGAGCACTGGGTGTTATATGGAAACCAGCTTGACAATAAACTATTTGTAAAACAAACAAACATAAAAAAAATAAAGGTGGTGAGGGGTCTGACCTTTCTGAAGAGACAACGTTTTTCCACAAGAGGGCGCCTGACCTTCAAGTACAGAGCAAGCGGAGTCCTGAGCTGGGGTCGGATTTTAAGGAAGCCGCGTGGAAAGCTGTATCGTGCATATTTCCACCTCCACGCCTAGGAACCGCGCACACAGTGCTTCAAAAGCTTCTGGCACTCTAAGGCCTGCCTCCTCGGTCACTAATAACTTACAGTCTGCTTTCCCTGAAATCAGTACGTACAGGTTAGCAAGACTTGGGCTCAGCAAGTGCAAGTGGGAAGAGCACGCTCCTTGCCCTGGGGGAGTTACTAACCAAATGTAGGCGTGCTGACGCCACTGACCCCATCATTGTCCCTGCACGCCCACACAGTGACCTACCTCAGGGGCTAAGCGTTCCGGCGGGGGAGGTTAACGTCTGAGCTGATCCAGAGAGGGAAGGCTTGCTCTGCTCTAGCCCAGAGCGGCGCACAGAAGGAAGGCTCCACTTGAGATAACTACCCAGTAACCGCACCACCCTGCCCCTCACTCCGTAACACCTGGGGGTTGAGGTCCGTTGAGGCATTAGCGGGGGAAGAATAGCTGCATTGTGTCCTGGATCCTGCGCCTGCCCCTGTCAGTAAGTTGCCCTGAAAAAAACTCGGTGTAAATGGCACGGAGTGGCTGGTATTGTTTTTCACTCTCAACGTGTCTTCTCAGTCGAGGGTACTTTACATCAAACCAGAGAGCAAGAACTCAGTTCCGTTTTCCCGGGAGCAATTGCTGGGAGAGAAAAGGAAGACTGATTGGAGAGCAAGGGAGGATCTGACAGAGATCAATCAGTGCGGAAGGGAATGTGAATCAGCGGGGTGCTCTCCCATGCTGGAAATACAGGTGCAGAGAGATGGAAAGAGTCCCCAAGGGGGTGAGGGGGCAGGTGGAGAGGGCAAGAGAAGCAGAGGCACGGGTAACGCTGTGAAAAGCCTCTGACCTGGAGGGTACCAGAGATTTTGCAACCTTATGACACACCGCCCCCCCCCACACACAGTTATCAGAAATTGTACTCCTGACCCCAATCTCTTAGCAAACCTGACCTCCATGAAACCAAAGAGCAAAGAGACCGTCCGTAGCTCAAGGCGCTGACGCAGTCCGTCTGTTGCGGCCTGCCAATTTGGCTTGCAGGTGTTTACTTACCTGGTCAGCAGGAAGCTGGATGCCTCCCCCCACTTCCATCGCCAAGGCTTGCTTTCCAGCTTGCTCAGAAACTGAGTGCTGCAGCCCGGCCCCGGAAGACAGAGACGAAGAGGAACTGTGCCTTCCTCGCCCCAGCGAGCGTGTGATGGGAAGGAGAAAAGAGAAAAGGCCCACCCAGCGCAACCCGGTGGTCTCGGAAGGCTTCCTGGCTGAGATGATACTTGAGCTAGTGGGCAAGGACAGAGGGGAGTTTGAGAGGAGGAAAGGCTTGCAGGCTGAGGGAACCGCATAGCGGTGAGAGAGCATGTGGCCTGTGTCCCTCCCTACAAGCAGCTGGGCATGGCTGAAGCCTGGGGGCCAACACCTGAAAGTGGTGAGAGGCAATGAGGGAGCGGAGGCTGCTTTATCCGGAGGGCGCTGGGAAGCCTTGAGGGTTTTAAACAGTCTACCTGACCATTGACAGTTTGCAAAAGTCACTGCTGAGCTTTGTGTTGCCAAATCCACTGGGCACTTTTGAGCCTGCATTTTCCGAGAACTCTCTCTGTGGTATTTGGTGCTGCTGCCTTCTCCCTCCACCCTGGAGCAGTCTCCTGCCTTCTCAGTCACCAAGTTCTCCTTATTTCCCATCTGTCTCTCTAGTCACTTTTTCCAGCTCCCACGCTGGCTGCTCCTCTGAGGGTCTGGCCTCTGAGAGGTGTTTGGCAAGGCCCTGCTCACTTCATTCTCCCCATCGGCTCTTGCTCTCAACCACCCCATTATTCCCCTGGCATCACACACCCCTACATGACAGTATCAGGGGAGAGGTGAGGATCCAGAGTCCAGGGTCATAGCTCCAGTGTCATAGCTCAGTGAGCATATTCCTGCCGAGTCATGAGCAATTGTGGGATGAGTCAGGGCAGAGAGGTCAGAATGAGGAGTTCAGGGATAAGCAGAGGCATGTATTAGAGAAGGAGAGAGCTGCTGATTAGTATAGTCAGTGTCCGGGATCTGAAAGAAAGCAGAGAACAGGGCTCTCACTATTCCCAAGTGCGAAGGGAGTGGTGGACACTGATGTGCATTAAAAGACCAAGTAGGGGTTCTGAGAAGAATGTGAACGCAGGAAGGTGCAGGAAAGAGGTAGGCCCAACAGGGCTGGCTGACTCCAAAGTCCAGGAAGTCGCTGGAGACAGGGATCCAGGCCACAAGAGCAAGACCAGCATACTAAGTGGTGGCCTCTTGCCGGCTGCCTTGTGGGCAGGCAGGCATCCAAGGGCGTGCTCTCAGCCTTGGGGACAAAGGCTCAAGGGTGTTGGTGGGCCCTGTGTGCATTCCAGACCACACTGACACATTCATGGTGAGGCAGGGAAGTCATGAGCTATTCCTGATCATTCCGTTTTCCAACCTCACATGCCCATAGGACAGAGAATTTCTCAAGGCTCCGACGTTACAGCCATTGAAAAAACAGGTTTGTTTTGGGCTTCATCAAGACTAAAGTTGCAGTTGAGATCCAAAATGTTCTAAAGAAGTTTTTGTGGCATTTGCAATTGGGTAGACTATTCAGTATATGGTGTTAGGGCAATTGGCTTTCTATTTAGAAAAAAGTAAGAGTCCCACCTTAACATCACACACAAAAATAAATCTGATAATTAGTAATTAATTTTAAAGTTTCTTTCTTTATGGGGTGGGGGGGGCAGAGAGAGAGGGAGAGATATAATCCTGAGGAGGCTCCATGATCACTGTGGAGCCTAACACAGGGCTCGGTCCCAGGGCTCCGTCCCATGAACCATGAGATCATGACCTGAGCCAAAATGTAGAGGCTGACTCTCAACCAGCTGAGTCACCCAGGTGCCCCAGTAATTTATTTTAAAACTTCCCATAAAGAAAAGCTTAGCCCCAAATGACTATACTGATGAATTCTACCAAACATTCAGACAAGATCAGGCACATTCAAAGTGGTGTGGCCATAAGCTGTAACAAACATTCAAAGAACAAATACTAATCTGTTCCAAACTCTCCTAAAAATAGAAAAGGAAAGAATATTTTCCAAGTAATTTTATAAAAGGACAACCCATAAAATGAGAGAAAATATTTGCAAATCATATATCTTAAGGGAGTTGTATCTAGAATAAGTAAAGAACTTTTACAACTCAATAATAATAAACACAACTTAAAAATAGGCAAAGGATTGGGTGCCTGGATGGCTCAGTTGGTTAAGCGTCTGACTTTATTTAGCTCAGGTCATGATCTCACAGTCCATGAGTTTGAGTCCCACATTAGGTGAGCTCGAGCTCTGCTTTGGATGAGTCCTGCTTCTCTCTCTTTCTCTCTCTCTCTCTCTCTTTCTCTCTCTCTTTTTCTTCCTCTTCCTCTCTCTTTCTCTGCCCCTCATGGGATTCTCTCTCTCTGTTACTCTCTCTCTGCCCTTCACTCACTTGTGCCCTCTCTCTCTCTCAAAATAAAATTTTTAAAAAAGGCAAATGATCTAGGTAGATATTTGTCCAGTGAAGATGTACAAGTAGCCAATTATAGACATGAAAATATTTCAATATCATTACTTATTAGGGAAATGGAAATCAAAATCACAAGGAAATACCACTTCATACTTACTAGGATGGTTATAATAATTATTTTTAAAAACAGGCAATACCAAATATTGGCAAGGATGTGGACAAATTGGAACCATCGTACATTGTTGGTGGCAAAATGGTGGAGTCACTGCAGAAAAGAATTTAGCAGTTCCTCAAAAAGTTACACAGAGAGTTACCATATAATCCAGCAGTTCTACTCATCTGTAGATATCCAAGAAAATTAAAAACATATGTCCACACCAAAAAGTATGCAACCTCATTCCAAATAGCCAAAGTGAAAACAAGCCAAATGCCTGTGATCAAAGGATAAACAAATGTAGTATATCTTCTTATTTAAGGAAAGAAGGAAATGAGGTACTCGACATGTTACACCATGTTAAAACATGTTGTTAAATGGGGGGTACCTGAGTGCCTCTGTTGGTTAAGCATCTGATTCTTGATTTCCTCCCAGGTCATGACCTCATGGTTCGTGGGTTCAAGCCCTATATGGGGCTCTTTGCTGGCAGTGGGGAGCCTGCCTAGGATTCTCTCTAACTGCCCCTCCCTCACTCATGCTCTCTCTCTTAAAATAAATTAAAAAAAAAAACCATGTTAAATGAAACATAATATAAAACATTATGCTAAATGAAAGAAGTCATTCACAAAAGACCACATACTGCATGAATCTATTATATGAAATGTCCAGAATAGGCAAATCTAGAGAGACAGGCATAGATTAGTGTTTGCAGGGGGATGGAGAAGGGGTGGAGGCTGGGGAGTGACTACTAACAGGAACTGGTTTCTTTAGGGGAAATGAAATGTTCTGGAATTAAGAGTGTGGCAATGGTTGCCCAGCCCTGTGAATATAGTAAACAGCATTTCATTGTACATTTTAAAAAGGGTGAATTGTATGGTATGTAAATTCTATTAAGCTACTAAACAGATTAATAAATCTGAGGTAGATTAAATATACAAATATAAAATAAGCCTTAAAAATTAAAGAAAATAGAGAAGACTGGTTTAATAATCTTGGCATGAGGAAAGCCATTTCAAGTATGATGCAAAATCAGAATATAATAAAGGACAATGTTGGGCCATCTGCTAGCTCAGTGAGTGAAGTGTGTGGAACATACAACTCTTAATTTTGGGGTCATGAGTTTGAGACCCACGTTGGGCATAGAGATTACTTAAATATATAAGACTTAAAATTTTGAGGTTTTTTGTGAGAGAGAGAGAGAGAAAGGGAGAGTGTGGCAGTGGGGGAGAGAGAGAGAGAAAAAGAGAGAGAATCACAAGCAGTCTCTGCAATGTCTGCACAGAGCTGATGTATGGCTAGACCCCATGAACCCTGAGATCATGACCTGAGGTGAAGTCAAGAGTTGGGTGCTTAACCTACTGAACCACCCAAGCACCCTCCAAAATTTCGTTTTAAATAAATAAAGGACAATGTTAACAGACTGGGTACTTTGAAATACACAATCTTCAGTGAAAAAAAGACACAATAAATTCTAAATATGTATATACAATATAAATATATATAAATCAGGAAAAACTTTTGCAACATATGTAATATATTTAGAGAAATGGTCTTTAAAATCATTATGAAAATGATGAACCCCCCAATAATATGCAGCACTGGCCAGAGTAAGGAGAAAGGGGCACTTGTATGGAGAAATTTCACGGTGAGTGAAAATTGGTGAGGCCATTTGGAAGGCAGTTTGGTACCCCGGAGTGATCTGCAAAACATTCTACTCCTGATGCTAGCACTGCCCAAATTTGGGCAGGAAAATTTGCATTTTATCTCCTTATGTATCCTTCATTTGCAGATGGGGATAATAAATCTGCTCTACTTGACTTTATACAGTTGTTATGAAACTCACACAAACTATAGAAGTATGTTCTAAAAATCAGTAAGTACTATACACAAGTCAAAGAATTGTGATGATGGAGGAGACATATAGATTGTCTTGATGAGCTCAACAAGAGACAAACCGTTGGAACTAAAGCCTGGAGGACCCCAGTGGGTCCAGTTGGACAAACAACACCCTTCAGAATGGTTGAAAGGTGAATAAAAAATAAGAAGAATGAGACAGTTGATCATCATGTATTTCAGAGACATTTGGGGACAGCCATTTAAACACAACTCTCCTCCCTGTCTCCCATTCTCCATCAACAAGAGTTGATTCTGGCAGTAATGTTTCCTCAACACCACTCTACCACCTGTCCATAGTTGACTGGACTAGAGGTGGACCACTATGATTTCCTTCTGGAGAAACTCTGAACTGGAAGAGAGAAACAGAGGGATAGACAGCCAGACAGAAGACTTCTATACAGCCAGAACAGTTGCACTTGAATTTGGAGTTATGAGCAGGCATCTTTGGGCGAGGAAGCCCAGTTGGTCTAGAATGAGGCAGAGATGAGAACAGCCCAAACTTTTTTGGGCTGCCAGTGTCCTGTGGCCTGGTTCTGGTATTTCCTAAAGCCTAATTCTTGGGCTCCCTGAGTCACCTTCGAATTCTGATAAATTTCTCCTTTTTTCAAAAGCTAG